CAAGTTATTAAACTCCTTGTTGTACTGTTTTAACCAACATCCTATTATTTCATCCCTCTTTAGTTCTTATATTCTCTCCTCAGCATCCTATTCTCAAATACCTTCAGTCTATATTATTTTCTTAGAATTAGACACAAGTTTAACACCTGTACAAACTATGTGCACAATTATAGCTTCTGATCAAGACATGGTCAGCTTCGGTGTAGTACAGGGTTATTCAAAAAGAATGAACCGATTTTATTGCGCAATATTTTATTAAAGGAAAGTAATACAAAACTCCAGCCAAGTCACAAGTATTCTACTCACAATCAACTTTTATTTCCTGTCTTACAAGTGTTCAGTGTGACCACCACCTGCAGCACGGGCAACATCAGTGCGATAAGAGAATCCCTCCCAGGTGCGTATCAGCATATCACGATGCACTGAGTTAATCGCTGTTGTTATTCGATGTTTAAGGTCATCGAGGTTAGTGGGTAGCGGTGGAACATAAACCTCACACACGGTGAGGTCTGCGGATCTTGCAGGCCAAGCACAAAGAGCAAGGTCTTTGGCCCCCTTCCGACCAATCCATCGCTGGGGCACTTTTTCATTTAAAAAAACTCGGACCATCATGTGCCAATGGGGCGGTGCTCCATATTGTTGAAAAATGAAGTCATGCGAATCTGCTTGTAGTGAAGTGAAGAGCCAGTTTTGGAGCATATCAAGATAGGTTTGTCCTGTAACGGTGTTTCCTTCAAAGAAAAAGGGACCATAAACCTTGCCCTGAGACACAGCACAGAAGACGTTCACCTTAGGGGAATCTGTTTCGTGCTCAACTGTTTCATGTGGGTGCTCTGTTCCCCAGATACGCACATTGTGACGATTGACTGTGCTGCTCAAGTGAAAAGTTGCTTCATTACTAAAAATTAAACGTGAAATGAAGGTTTTGTCTTCCGTCATCTCCAGCATTGAATCGCAAAATTCCATCCGCTTCCTTTTGTCGTAATTGGTAAGTGCCTGAACGAGCTGCAGTCTGTATGATTTCAAATGTAGAGGTACTGTTAGCACACGCCAGACAGTGGATTGAGGGATCACAAGCTCATGGCTAGCTCGATTTGTTGACTTCCGCGGGCTCCTCTCAAATGCAGCACGGATTCTCGCCACTTGTTCCTCCGAGACTCGTCGTCCTGGACTTTTTCCTTTACACAGACCCCCACTCTCTTGAAACTGTCGAAACCACCATCGAATGTTCTTAGGACAGGGCGGATTAATGCCGAATCGCCTTCTAAAAGCACGCTGCACCATGACAACCGAATTTGGTTTCGCGAACTCGAGAACACAGAACACCTTTTGCTGAGGACTCGCCATCCTGAGGGTAAACGAACAACTGAACGTTGCCGGAAGAATGACGCGACTTCAGTGACCCTGTGGCAGCCATTCACAACTTAGATAACTCCTCTTTCAAATGGTCACTGACTCATTCCATAACGATGCTTGAGAACTGAAGCAATGTGTCATGAAATCGGTTCATTCTTTTTAAATAACCCTGTATATTGAAGCATTGGTTCTGTTACCAAAGATTTAGTTGAAACATTTTGTTAAGTATTACACTATTTGAAAAAATTAACTCTGCCATATATTTCATGGAGGGATACTGGATTGAAGGTAGGGGGATAGTTGTGAGAAGTAACAGACCACTCATATTACATACAGTTTCCCATTATTTGACTCCAGAATTTCATTAAATGTGTTCTTCCATTTAATTGTTTCTGCAGCCATAGTACAGTTGATCAAATTAATGATACTGTTTGTGCATTTCCTCATGTGGTAACAAATGTGCTTGGTTTTGATGTCCAGTTTGTCACCTTTTAACTCTATAAATAGTCTGCGTTGTTGATACTTCTTTAAATATATCTTAGAAATTTCATTCTTACCTTGAGGTTTGAACATGACATATCATTGGTTCTTTTTCTCTAGGTTGGTAGGTGCATATACATTTTATAGGAATAAGGTAGCATCCATATAAGTAAAGAAGCATATCCAAGATTTTACCATGGACAGCATTCAGAATAGCCTTCCATATCAGTTGCATTTCTCATACAGATTTTCTTTCAAGGTATCAGATTTATATATCCTCATTCTTGCTGAGTGAGTGTAAGTCATAGGAGGGAGTGAACACATGTTTTAGCAGAGAATAATGAAAGCTAGTGTAGGAGTGTATTGTGCCAGAATTGGACATTTTTGACAAAATATGGAGTTAAGTATAAAATTGAAATAGAAGAGATTGGAGAAATAAATGTGAAAATATGGTTCTTAGGAGTAGTCATTGCAGTACAATGGAGTAACTGAGGTGAATCTGAGTCAGCAAACAAACTTGATGAAAATTAGAAGGATTTTAGGGTGTGTGAAGTGTACTACAAGACTTCTGGAAGAACAAAGAAATTAAATTAAATGTAATCAAGATAAATGTACTTGGAGTTCAATTGGCCAGATGAAAGAACATGTAATGAGGAATTGGGAGGAGAAACAGGAAGTCCACAAACAAGAAGTGAGGCATTTGAAAGATAGGTGCAGGAAGAATAATATTCTGTTTTGGGGTCGAGGTGGGGAGAGCACAAGAGTGAAATGCATTTAAAGTTGTGAAAATATTTTGACACATGTTTCAAGTGAGAACATCAGTAACGTATCCTGACTCAGGAGAAGGAGTGTTCAACACCCGGTAATAGTCAGACATTTTTTCAGCAAAATTAAATATATTTTGGAATACAAGGAATTTGGCAGGGGTGAAAATGAGAACAGGGTTATATGGCAGTAGCAGAGCAGATGGTTGGCACGTTCCTGCCCTGAGGAGGGTGCAGCTGAGTCGTCACCCCATATGACAAGTTGTACAGGAAGTGGAGGTCTGTAACAGGACTGTCTTAAAGAGAATTAAAGGGATATATATATATATATAGGTACAGCCCTGGAGGAGTGACACATAACAACAAGCCAGCAGAAATGAGTTAGCTATTTACAGGATGGGAAGAAATTTAAGATGACCGTAGAAGAAGTGTGAACAGTCCTGATATGGAGAGTAACACTGCATATAGGAAGAATGCTGACAGAATAATGGACCCATGGGTGAGGTTGCTGATTGGTGTGGCAAGCAAGGAGAGTAAGACAATGCTGAATCAGCAGGACTTATGTCCTTGAGGAAGGTTTTGCATCCACTGGCAAACAGTTTGGCTTTAGTCAGGGCTAAACTGTAATCAAAGAAAAAGAGGTTTTGGGACCAGGGAGCTCAGAAAATTTTAAACGAGGGTTCAAGGATACTAAAGGAGAGAGCAGATTTTATGTATGAAATTGGGAATGCAGGGAGGAAACCCATGGTTGCTGGAAGTAAGAAGGTCTTGTGTGAGGAATGCAACACAGTAGCAAACAGAATTGTTAGAAGTGCACATAACCAGGTTACCCCTATTTTGAATAACTTGCATTAATTTTTTATGTTTAGATATTTGCTGGCACAGATTGCAGACTAAGTTAGTTGATTTTGTAATTACAATGAAGATTTTAAAGTAGCAAGAAATAATTGAATACATAAGAAAAGATAATATGTGATTCTTTTTATGTATAGAACATTTACAGCTCTAGAAGGATATTTCAGCATTATTTGGTTTACAGTTTACAAGGTGTTATATTTGTGGAGTACAGAATTTAACCTTATTTGTTTGGGTAGCTGTTGATGTTTGTAATTTTACTGATAGTTGGAGTGGGTAGATCGGTTACGGGAGTCAGATCTGTATGTATAACCTTTTGCCAAGGTTTGTGTTGTAATAACTTGCATTTATGTGGTTTTGCAGTATTATTTTTATGAACACAGTGATGCGGATGTTTGGAGGGAGATGATTGTTTTGTGTAGTGATGAAGGAATATAACTGAAGATATTTTAATCTGCTGTTTTGCATGTAGTTGACAGGTGTGTGGTTATTTTTTTTTCTTAGAATGGGCTGATGTATTCTCAGTTAATAAGATGAACATATGTAGTGCTATAGTGTGTTTTCGAAGTTTCTATGGAGGGAAGCATGGTTTTACTGGAAAGGAATCTTTGAATATGAGGGATTAACTTCAGGATAATTTATGATAATAAATTTATTATTAATGGTAGGCAATGCTTCAGGTTTTATAGAGACATTAAAGAGCACTCAAAACATACTAAATTTTCTTATAAGTATTTCAAGGGGATTTCTTATTGAAAATTTTCATTTTCATACTTTCTATCATTGTATCAAAATGGCGTTTACTATACTGGTATTAAAATTTTTAAGAGTTTGTTAAGAAGATATCTGGTGTTGCACTGTTTTTACAAAATGGAGGAATTTTATTGTATAAATGGTTAATACATTTTTCATTTGCATTCAGTTTTTGTGATCATATTCATTTATGTTCTATGCCTGTGTTATGTATCTTTCATATTATACTATCTAGACTTGTTCCAATGATTAATTGGTACATTTGTTCTGACATGTGACACATTCTGTATCCAAGGGTTTGTGAATATACTTCTCAACCTGTATCTGGATCTGCTTGAATCTGAAATAAATTAAAAAAAATAAAATAAAAAAAAAGGGCGGTAGTTTCCAAATCATCCATAATTATGGGGGAGGGACATAGTTCAAGTGAGAACTCTGAGTCAAAGCTAACTCAAATTGGTTTCTGAAGATTTTCCAGTCTCCTTCCAGACAAAATAAATATGATTTCATATTTTTACCTGCCAAGCCAGGAAACTTGGAAGTTCTTACTGCATGTCTCAAATTAGACAATTTTATCATTGTTGGACACAAGTCTTATTTAACAATATAGGGGCTGTATATCCAAAATTGATTTATGAAAGTTCTTTGAAGGTGTAGAGTCAAATCTCTGCCAAGGATCTATTTGTTGTTTGTTGGCCACCTTCTGATGTGCATCACATACTTGTGTTATACTTCTGTCATCGTAATTATTATGACCGTGAATACCGAGTTGTTTTCCTTTCTTTCTTACAGTGTTATGCTATTAACAGCATAAGTTAACCGTTTAGGAAAAACTAGGCAGTGTCTGCACAGGGCAAGCATGAACACAGGTTTGAAGCAGTTCATCTTACGATCAAGTCAGTGAGGAAGGAATTGGTAATTTTGATTTTTTGTTTCCATTATTGATATAAAATTTGACACTTTGTGAAATAGAGTCTGACTAACTATGAAGTCAGTCCTCAATACTTTGTAGATCCTTGAGCAATCCTTCTTCAGTATGGTATGCATTTTATAAATGGACCAACCATATTTTGTTGTTGTTATTATACTGTCATGAAAGTTCAGTGAAATGTCAATGGGAACTAATGGAAGCTGAATCCTTCTTGAGCGTTGCTCAACTGCTCATTTTCCCAGTATTTTATGGAACTCAAAGGATAATTACCAAGTTCACTAGAGTCCATCACTGGTCCCTGTCCAGTTCATACCACCCCACCCTATTTCTCTAGTGACTAGACGCAGGGCTGGGATTGGTAATTGGATTTATTGAATGCATATGATCACAAGTACAAATAATTATAATAGTCTTCACTAATTTACAGACACTGCAAATCACTATAGCATATACTAAGTCTTCTCACTCTGTTCTGTTTTCACTAGTCATTGCTTGGTGCAGCTTCCAACAGTGCTGATCTCTGCACTGGTCCCTCTGGTCTGGATCCTTCCAGGCTGGGTGTGCTGTTAATGAACCCTTGTACATATGTGTGTTATCTCCCATTTAATCAGGTTGCAAGTTGTGTGTAGTGGGATTATCATTGAGACATTATATGGTAGATGGAGAATTCCTGTGTTGTCTTGTACGTGCTCATTTGGACTCACAGCCCCCACATAGTCCAAACGACCCCTATATTTTTTTTATTGCTAGTGGGGTGGGACTAAGTCCCTTGTAATGGGGCCACTTCTGGCCTGTTGTACCAGCCCCAGATGATAGGTGAGGGTGATTGTGGAGCAATTGGTGGAATGAAGATTGGCAGGGAAAACTGAAGTACTCGGAGAAAACCTCCCCCAGTGCCACTTTGTCCACCACAAATCCCACTTGACCAGACCTGGGATCGAACCCGGGCCGCCGTTGTGGGAAGCCAGCGACTAACCGCTTGAGCTATGGCGTGGCCAAACAACCCCTATATCCGGAGGCACATTGGCACCCATGACCAAATTTTTGTCATTACAAGATCATATGTTTGTTCGGAAATGGGGGTCTTACCTTCGACAAGAAGAGGGTTTAGGCATTCAGAATAGGTGCCACTTTTGTTCAGTTTGTCAGATAAATTTCTGCTGGCCATCACCACCACAGTAATTCTTGTTCTGAAAGAGTCTTGCAGCTTCAGCCATATATGTCTTGTCTGGTTGGATAGTTTGTTGCTGGTCCTTGCCAGCACAGTCAGTCTTGGTTTCAGGTCTCATTGCCCATGACCATAATTTTGTTCTTTCTGTGACTTTACGTGTTTTTAAATGGGGCTTCCTCTTTGATGAGAGGAGAGGTCTACTTCTGGTCACACCTCTCTCCTGGGCCGTTGCTGGCTGGCTGACTGACTGACTGACTGACTGACTGCTATATTGCTGCTGACCCTCGACAATTCTTTAGCAATGGATGTCTCCTCTGGGTCCTCTATTCTTTCTGGCAGGCATCGTGTTACAGAATGTGTAAGTTTACCATAATGGGAAGTTTTCACACTTTTGTTGCATTGGCACCATTCAGAATACTGTGTTCTTTTTATTTATTGGCTGCTACAAGATGTAAGCAAAATGTTACAAAGACTAGTTCGCTTGAACTAACAATCTGTTTTAATTTAACACTAAGTTACTAAGATTATATGAAGTTAAGTTCGTCCATTGCATCCGTTAGCTGTCGGGCTGCTTGGCTAGTTCGTAAGATTTGGTCCATTTGAGTCGCCTGGTTAGGTTTCCCACATTTAGGAGCCTGGACACTTCTTCATTGACGTGTTGTCGAAGTCAGTTTTTGTGTGAGGTGGCGTATCTTGCAATAATGGATGTGACTCTTTCAACACTGGGGTCTCGGTGAAGGTCCTGTTGCGTACATACCAGGGCGCATCTGCTATGCATCTTAGTACTTTGTTCTGGTATCGTTGGATTACTTCGATCTTGCATTTTTTCACACACCCCCATAGTTGGACGCCATATGTCCAGACTGGTCGCAGCATTTGTTTATACAGGAGCATCTTGTTGTACATTGACAGTTCTGATCAACGTCCAATCAGCAAGTACATTTTTTGAAATTTAATTTACAGTTCCTATTGCTTCATCTTAATATGCTCCTTCCATCGGAGTTTGGCGTCAAGTAGAATACTGTATGACGTCACATTAATTCAAGGAAAGATTACTTACCTACTTACTTACTCATGAAGCTGAGCCCTTCTGGAGGAGCTGCCAATTCTGCAGCTAGTCAAGAATTTCCCAGCATTTTATGGAGCCCAAAGGTTCATTACCATGCTCACAAGAGCCTCCCACTTGTCCCTATCCTGAGCCAGATCAATCCAATCCATACCATCCCATCCTATACTATCTCTAAGATACATTTTAATATTGTCCACCCACCTACGCCTTGGTCTTCCCAGTGGTCTTTTTCCTTCTGGCTTTCCCACCAATATCCTATACGTATTTCTTGTCTCCCCCATTCGTGCTACATGCCCTGCCCACCTCATCCTCCTTGACTTGATCATTCTAATTATACTTGGAGAAGAGTACAAGTTATGAAGCTCCTCATTATGCAGTTTTCTCCAACCTCCTGTCACTTCATCTCTCTTTGGTCCAGATGTTCTCCTCAACACCCTGTTCTCAAAGACCCTCAGTCTCTGTTCCTCCCTTAATGTCAGAGACCAAGTTTCACACCCATACAGAACCACAGGCAAAATTATAGTTTTGTATATTCTAATTTTTATGTTTTTGGAGAGCAGACTAGAAGAAAAAATGTTCTGGACTGAATGGTAGCAAGCATTATCTGAGTTCAATCTTTTCTTAATTACCTCCTGAATCAGTTTTCGATCTGTTATTGTTGTTCCCAAATATCTGAACTGTGCCACATTTTCAAAACATCTGTTTCCTATCTTTATGTCATGATTTTGCCCTGCATTTTGGTGACGAGACAGCAACATATACTTAGTTTTCTCTGTGTATACTTCTAGACCAGTCTCCTTACTAAAGTCAGTTAAAGTTACTGTGTTTTTCTTTATGGTATCTGTATTATCACCAAGTAGAACCACGTCATCAGCACAGACCAGCAGCTGATGTGTTCCATTTAATTTCAGTCCCACCTGGTTTTCCTGGACCTTCCTAATGGCCAATTTTAAAGCAAAGTTGGAAAGGAGTGGGGACAAAACATCTCCTTGTTTTAGACCATTCTGTATAGTAAAATTATCAGACAAATGTTTACCTATGTGGACAACACTATACGTTTCGTTTAAACACATTTTAATCAACCTAAGTAGTTTCATGGGTATTCCAAACTCTTATCAGAATGTTGTACAATACTTTCCTCCTAACTGAATCATAGGTTTTCTTGAAGTCTATGAATAGCTGATGTATGGTCTCACTGTACTCCCATTTTTTTCTCCAGTATCTGACAAATGCAAAAGATCTGATCTCTAGTTGATCTGTTATGTCGAAATTCACACTGATGATCCCCAATAACTTCATCTGTATATGGATTTAAACTTGAGAGAAGAATATTTGATAAAATTTTGTTTGAAGTTGATAGCACTGATATTCCCTGATAATTATTACAGTCAATTTTATCACCCTTCTTGTGAACTGGTATAATAATAGACTCCTTTCACTGATCAGACAATTTTTCCTTATGCCAAATAGAAGTAATTAGATTGTGGAGCTTAGAATGTAATATTTTGCCTCCTGCTTGAATAAGTTCTGCCGGAATTTGATCACTACCTGGCGATTTATACCTTTTCAATTTTGCAATAACACTTTCAACCTCAAAATGGCTAGGATCAGGTACTAACAGCTCAGCTGTATCGATTTCTGTCTGCTTAACATTGCTGACCCTATGTACATTCAATGACTGAGAGAAGTAGCTCCTCCACCTATTCAAAATGTAGTGGGAACCTGCAAGCAGATCACCATCAAGTTTCTGCTAGGTTAGTAACCCCTCTTAAAGTCATTTATTCCTCTATGCAGGTCTATGAAGTTCTTACTGTTCATTGCAAGCTCATCAATTTTGTGTTTCAGATATTTCCTCTTTTTCTTCCTGAAATGCCTGCTTGTTTCACGTCTTATATTATTCAGATTATCCCCATTTAACTCGCTTGGATCCTGTAACCATTGCAATTGGCTTGTTTCCTTTGGTCTCATAATTCTGAGCATCCTTCATTGAACCATGGCTGATGCTTCTTCGGTTCATAATAACCTAGACTCTCTTTGGCAGACATTTTTATATTCTCTCTTTTAGTTTCCCAAGCATTATTAACATCCACATATGAAGGGGGACCCAAAAATAACCGGAAACGACCTGTTGCGTGTGCATGCTTTGTAGTTACGAGTTGTGCTGCTAGGTGGTGTTAGCTGGGTGTCTCCCGCGACTGTTAGTGAGCTGGCGTCAGTCTGAGTTAAGTGGTTTGTCTGTGGTGCTCTGTTATGTGCGTTCCTGTTTCAACCCTTTGGCGATTAGTGAGATGGCCGACCAGAAGGAACAAAGAGTGTGCGTGAAATTCTGGATCGTTCTGCACTTCACTCTTCAAGTCGCGGCAAACATTCACGCGGTTTTCTCTTTGGTCATCTCCGAGCAGGTNAATAACACTTTCAACCTCAAAATGGCTAGGATCAGGTACTAACAGCTCAGCTGTATCGATTTCTGTCTGCTTAACATTGCTGACCCTATGTACATTCAATGACTGAGAGAAGTAGCTCCTCCACCTATTCAAAATGTAGTGGGAACCTGCAAGCAGATCACCATCAAGTTTCTGCTAGGTTAGTAACCCCTCTTAAAGTCATTTATTCCTCTATGCAGGTCTATGAAGTTCTTACTGTTCATTGCAAGCTCATCAATTTTGTGTTTCAGATATTTCCTCTTTTTCTTCCTGAAATGCCTGCTTGTTTCACGTCTTATATTATTCAGATTATCCCCATTTAACTCGCTTGGATCCTGTAACCATTGCAATTGGCTTGTTTCCTTTGGTCTCATAATTCTGAGCATCCTTCATTGAACCATGGCTGATGCTTCTTCGGTTCATAATAACCTAGACTCTCTTTGGCAGACATTTTTATATTCTCTCTTTTAGTTTCCCAAGCATTATTAACATCCACTTCAGTGTCAAAGTTTTCCAAAGCAGTGAACATATTTTAGATTTCAACACGATACTGATCTTACCCTCTACCTCATTTAATTTCTTAGGTTGAACCTCTTCATATGAACTCTCTGTTTTCTTTGTTTGCTCAATGCCAGTCTTTCCCTAACCTTTGCCACCAGCAGGTGGTGGTCAGTAACACAATCTGCTGCCCTGAATGATCAGACGTCAAGTATATGAAGGGGGACCCAAAAATAACCGGAAACGACCTGTTGCGTGTGCATGCTTTGTAGTTACGAGTTGTGCTGCTAGGTGGTGTTAGCTGGGTGTCTCCCGCGACTGTTAGTGAGCTGGCGTCAGTCTGAGTTAAGTGGTTTGTCTGTGGTGCTCTGTTATGTGCGTTCCTGTTTCAACCCTTTGGCGATTAGTGAGATGGCCGACCAGAAGGAACAAAGAGTGCGTGAAATTTTGCTTTCTGTTAGGGAAAACTGCACTTCACTCTTCAAGTCGCGGCAAACATTCACGCGGTTTTCTCTTTGGTCATCTCCGAGCAAGTGAGGAACAAATTTTGCAGACACCCGTCTCATGTGCAAGCCTTCGGTTAAAATTCGCTGGACCGTGCTCCATGAGATGTTCGTTTCCTCAGAAAGTTGGTCAATGGTCTTTCGACGATCTTCATCAATTGCACGTTTGATTTTGGCAATGTTTTCGTCATTTCTTCCTGTCGAAGGACGCCCGGGGCGTGGCATGTCTTCTGTTGACATGTTGCCAGATTTGAAACGGGAAAACCACTCGTAGACCTGTGATTTCCCCAAAGCATCATCATTAAAGGCTTGCCGAAGCATCCCAACAGTCTCGGCTGCAGTTTTCCCTAACAGAAAGCAAAATTTCACGCACACTCTTTGTTCCTTCTGGTCGGCCATCTCACTAATCGCCAAAGGGTTGAAACAGGAACGCACACAACAGAGCACCACATACAAACCACTTAACTCAGACTGACGCCAGCTCACTAACAGTCGCGGGAGACCCCCAGCTAACACCACCTAGCAACACAACTCGTAACTACAAAGCATGCGTGCTCAACAGGTCGTTTCTGGTTATTTTTGGGTCCCCCCTCGTACTTGAGTGCTGTCTCGTATCTATCAAAATATGGTCAATTTGATTATGTATCTTCCCATCAGGAGATATCCAAGTAAATTTATGGAATATATGTGGGAACATTGTATTTTTGAAAGTAAGATTTTTGATGTGGCAAAGTTTACTACTCTAACTCCATTATCATTACTAATTTGATGCAAAATCTTAATTCCCATTCGTTGGTTTGAAAATGTCTCCTCCCTACTTTGGCATTGAAATCTCCCAACTAAATTTTCATAGGGTACTTTGGGAATTTATCAAATACATGTTCTAGTTCTTCATAGAACCTGTCATTTATGTAATGAATTTTATCTTCTGTTTGGGTGTGTACATTCATGACAATGATATCACACCAGTGACCTTTTAGTATTATATATGATATTCTATCACTAACAAACTCTACCCTCTTAACTGCAGATATGATTCTCTTATGTATGAAAAAACCTGTACCTAATTCACATTTTTCATTCCCCTTTCCATAGAAAATTGTATAGTCTCCTGCTGGTGCGCCATCTGACCTCCTGTACTTCCATTAAATCTAACTTATATTTTAAGATTTTTCTGCCACTGCCCTGAGCGAATCTCTCCTATACATACTTCTGACATTCCAGGTATGAAATCTCATATCCATTTTCTTTAGCTCAGGTCGTTTATCCAGAGGTTCCGTCCAATTCAAAGGCTTTGTGTTCATTTTCATTACATGATTATTTTTTATGGTGAGGGGTTGTAAGCCCCATGCCCAACTCCCAAGCTGGATGACCACCCCTTGTCAGCTCTCCATGACTGCTTGTTCACTATATTTGCAGCTTCCCTCCAAAACTGTAGGGCGTCTCCTCCATCTGCAACCTGAGTGCCACATCCTAGAAGACTGATTTCTTCATAGTCACTGCTGTGAAAGCCTCAATTCTTACACTTTCCATGATCTAGCCAGCTGACAACTGTATCTTGATCTTTATGACTGTACCAGCTGTAGACACCTGCATGTGATAGGGTCTTTTCGGCATACTGTGCATTTAACCCGTGAAGAATTTCTTTTGGTTTCACTTCTACTTTCAGTAGGAATTTGATGATACGGCACTGTCCTACCTTAGGATTGACAAGGTGTGACACCATCTTGTACTAGCTCTAGTTCACAGAAGCGGGGCACATGGCCACCTGCCAGGTAGTGGGTTCAGTGTTGCTGCCAACCATCCATAAGAGTTTAATTTAGTGGTGCCCATGTCTTCAAAAAAAATTTATTTGTTGAACCACCTAGATGATAGTGAAACCTGTACAATTTCTGTATGTAATTTGTATGTGAAGGCAGGATCATTCAACAATAATTGTCGTAGTTGGTAAGGTTGTGACCAAAGCAAATGCATCTCTCTTGGTGACTGGTTAACTAGTTAATGCCCATTATGATGTTCTTTTGTCAATGCCCATTATGATGTTCTTTTGCCATTTGAAGAAAAATTGGTGAGGTATTTTTGAAAAACTGTGTTGTTTCTTTCATGAGCAAGCATTGCAGAAAACATTTTATGTGGATAGGAGTAGGATATTTTAATTCTGTCATGTTTAGGATTGGTAGAAACGTGGGTGTGTTTTGAAAATTTCAAGGTTTATGTATTAAGTATGTTTGTTGGAATTTGTTTTTGATAATCCCCAATGAAATTTCAGCAGGCTTTGATCTAATATTCATAAAATCGTTTTCACTGAGTGCAAGTATATACACTGTTAGCAGTTGGCAGTTGTTTTCAGAAAAGGTTGAGGCTGCAGTGCTGACTGAAGCATAGTTTCCTTGTTGCTGCTTTGCAGTCTATTCTGTAACTACTGTTACAGCTTTCTGTTAGGAACAGAATTGGAACATCTAAGAAACCCTTAGACTTTCATACATGAGGTTGTTATTATACCATATGAGAGTAAAATGGTGAAGTTGTCCCCGTGCTTAATTAGTTAAACACTGTGACACGAAGACATATGGGGGAATGGAGTTACAGCTCCAACTTTCTTGACCTTGTCATTAGATGGAGGTGAGCGGTCAGCTCCATGCCCCTGCCGCTTTAGCCCTCCCCCAGCAGGGAGGGATAGGAGGTTGGGCAGGCCTCAGGCTCAGTCTAGATGCTGTGGAGAAGAGAAAATCTTGCACTGCCAGAAATCGAACCCAGACCATCCAGACTGTAGCCTGGTCACTATACTGACTGAGATATCCCAACTACTATGAGAGTACATTCTTCTAATTATTCTCTTTTATTAGTTATAAATGATGTTTCATCTTTTAATATCATATCATTTTTGGAAGTATTTGCTACTGGCCTAAATATGGGTTTATGATTCAGAATCTAAAATGATGTATTGCAGTGTTTTCCAGTCTTTTTTTCTGGAACCCATTTTATTTCAAGAAGACAGGCCAAAAATACACAGCTGCAGATATGAAAAGACAGGTGTGAAGTTTGTATGATTTAGAGAAAGCAAGACAAATTAAATAGAAGTTTCAGGTCTTTTTCCATAGTGTATGAATACTTATTATTAACAGGAATTATGCTGCACAGCGCAGGTTTGCACGGTATTGGAGATAATGAGCAGAATAGGGGCCAGTATTATTTCTTGACATCTTTTCCTGAAGAATTGTGCAAATTAAATTTTTACAGGCATGTGTATTCAAGGAAATAAGTACATATTTTACTCTTCAATTGCCTATGAAACAAAACAGCTTTGAGTCAAATTATAGTAATTTTGAATTGAAACATCAGATATTCCTGTAAGGAGAATATATTTCAGATATATATTTCAAATATCAGATGATATAAGGAAAATCATTTTTATTGAGTTCATAACCTGACATTATGTTAAAAATCATTCACAATCAGAAAGAAAGCAAACTAATTTCTTTCTACTCTCACAGTAGAGCACAGCTTAAATGATTTTCTTTAATAACAGAATTAGCTTTTGGACTTTTTATTATCAGGAAATTGATGTTAATACGGAACTCTGCTGTTATAGAAACTGCTCCTGAGTATCTCTGGATTTCCATAGAACATTGTGTGTGTGAAAGAATGGTCTGATAGATGTTTGACACTTCTCAATCTTCTATAATGTGTAGATTATGGTTTACAACTGTGTTATGCATGTAATAAGATGTTTTATTATGAATGTAAGTTAAAATGTCTGTCATTCTGTTTTCTTTTTCTCCACACAGATTTTACAACAAGGACGTATATTATGTTTTTCATGTTTATTTGTGGTATACACTTTGTTTGCGGAATCCAAAGATGACACTACCCCAGCAGCTTGATTACCAAGTAACAGGTGTCCATTGTACTTGGGTATGCTACAGAGCAGCCAGTTGTGTGACACAGATGAAGATTGATTGTTTCCATTGGTCTGTTTCTTAAATGACTGGTATGTTTAGTTTACTTTACCATTTCAGTGTAACTCTAATCTTATGAGGACATATTACATTCCTAAAAATGCTTGTAACAGATACTCATAATATATGAAGATGGTTGAAATACATAGCTGCAAATCTGCCCCATAACTTCCAACTATGTGTAATATAATGTGGCATTAAGATTTAAGTAATGATGTGGATATGGCAATATTTCTTCTTATTTGATGTGGTTATCATAGGGCTATGAAAATAACAAAGAATGATTCAGAATTCTTAGCATTATCTAAGCTAGGTTAACGATTTTCCTAAATTCACATAACCTCTCCAGTTTGCAACTGACTGCTAGGTAGGAGCTAAAGTCCTGTCCACTATTTTCTGATTGGAATACATGCAGTTTGTTGGTGTGATGTATGTCAACAAAAAGGAAGTGAGAGAACTGGAGGCATCAGTATTACCGATCCATTTATAAAGATCCTGGGTAGTCTAAAAATTGGATAGAAATATTTTATACAGGAAATGAGGAAAGTGGTTTCACCGAAGGATGATCAACTGTAGATTGTTTTTATATTATTAGACAAATTCTTAAAAATGTGCTATGGAGCAGGGAGATATTAGTTTAATATTTTTGACTTAGAAAAGGCTTATGATAGTTTACCAAGAAAGCTGTCATGGCAAGCATTGGGGAGGCTGTGTTAACCAATCAGTTATTATTAGATTATTATATTATATATATATATATATATACAGTAGAACTTGGTTATAACGTCATCAAAGGGACCTAAAAATAGTGTCGTTATAAACGAATGTCGTAACCGAAATGGGCACTTCCACAGTAGCCTTATGTTAGCCACGCAAAAATCTACCAAAAACCGAGTTAAAATGTTGCATTTTTTAGTGAAATACGTAGTTAAGTACAGACTAAC